TATATATATATATATATATATATATATATATATATGTTTATATATAAAACTTCTGATCAAAGTTTCAGGAATCGAGAATTATAAAGCGTGTTACGAATGTGTCTACTTGGTAACGGTGCAGAAAATACGGACCCAGTCACTCAGTGACAATACCATGAAGTTGGTTCCTGCTGATCCGACCAGCCACTGCCGGCTTACCCAAAAGCCATTCCGCTGCAAATGACAAGACCATAGAATGCTTAAAGATTAAACGAACCAACAGATGCACATGTCACACATAATGGGACACCTTTTCTATATTAGCCAGACGTGTCTACACCTAAACAAGCTATGACGGTCCAAAATTTAAGAATTTCGCACTCTCCTAATCTCCGCCAGCCCGGTGGCTTGCTTGGAAATCCAGAGTTCCCCGGACACAAAACGGATGGTAAAAGTAATTAAAATTTTGCGTCGATCCACTAAATTTTCTTGTCTTGTCTGTACTTTGCTAAGTCCCAGAAATATTCCAGAGAGTGGTCCACATTTTCATGGGTTTTAAACTGAAATAGCAATGTTTAAAACCATTTGGTGCATTCCACGGCCCTTCCCTTCTCAAGCCCACTTAGCTTATCAGCTACATGCTCGTGAATATGGGCATAATTTTTAGGGGAGTGTTTCAAGGTCACCTTGGCAGTGATGACGTCATAATGGCGCCATTCAAATTATGGCATTCGATAAGCCATGCGACGATCAAGGTCAGAAACAATAGAATGGTCGAGTAATTCATATCTGGTGATCGGTAATTGGCCTTCAATCAATATTGTGCCAGGTGGAATGACGTAATCAAACAATGACGTATCGAGGAACATACCTATTTACTCAACAAAGAAAATACGTTGTCTAGAGCAATCTTCTCTACTTAAAAGTGCACCAATAGTTAAAATTGAGTTTGTTTCATCATATCTGGTGCCTGTTCCAACATTTTTAAATGTGAAGCATTCCCTTTAAAAGGGTGTCTTCCTTTCGGATATATTTCAAACCCCGCTCCAGTAAACCTCAGGACTAATAACTTCTGATATTGGCACTGGTCAGGTCCACTGCAGCACCGTCAAGACATTATAAGGTTTCTTTCGAGTCCAAATTACC